CTCAGTTGTTACCTCTTCAGCAAAATCCCTGCATTTCTTTCAATCTTCCCTTATGTTTTCTGGACCTTTATCCACTTTTGCTGATTTCCTCTGGCCTCTTGCCAACTACTTCACATCTTTCTTAAGTGAGGTGCACTAAACAGGGCATGGTCTCCCAGGTGAAACTTTAACAGTGGGGAGCAGCCCACATGGACTCTTTCAGTCATCTTTAAGACCCCTTTGACATCCCAATGTGAGGGCTTTGCCATTCGTATTCAGCTTGTTCCACTGTAGTCCCTGGATTTTTCTCTTGTGACTGGTACCTAGGCAGGCAAAACCAGGTTACTATTTCTGTGTAAACATGGTATTTTGCATAATGGCATTTCCATCAATTTCAGGTGACTTCTCTAAATATATCATTTTAAATTCTGATCTTTTACCATCTATAAAATCTGCAGTCCTTCCTTTAATAATCATACTTCATGTTCCATCTTCTATGCCTTCAATGAAAGAACATCAACTAAAACTTGATATGGGACCAAGGCCCACAGTATTCCTTGCAAAACATGTACTTTGAGAGATCATGAAGGAATTACCCCATGGATACAACTATCCAACTAGACTTGACCTCCTGCCCCTTCCCACAGCAGTTTCATTTAGATCACAGTTCACTAGCCTGCTCATGAGGATATTATAGGAAATACAGCTAAAGGCCTTGCAAAAAATTCAATTAAATAAATAACTTCAAGCTATGTGACATCTGCAGCCATGATTCCACCCTCTTTTAAGACTTCTAGAGTGAAGCGGATCAGAGTTCGGCAACTGGAAAACATCTAACTTCACTAGTTACTCTCTAAGCAGGTTTTGCAGACTTTAGGCTGAAATGTTATTCCTTTTTCCTGATAATAATTGTTTCATGTTGACCTTTTTAGTAAAGATTGGTGAAAAAGGGAGGGGGGAAAAGAAGGATATTAAACTTTTTGGCTTCCTTAATGTCCTCTGCTGCTGGTACCCCCCCCCATCCTTGGGTAGTGGTCCAAACTTCCCTTTGTTTTCCTCTTGCCACCTTAGCTGTAAAATTTACTTCTGTTAAGTTTTGCAGGTTGCATCTTGTGCATTGTATCTTTACTAACTGCTTGTACCATCCTCCCCCAGTTTATGGAGTATTGTGCTGGGTTCTCAACCAGCTGACCTAGTCTCTGCTTTACAGATTTCTTTCTCTCTTATGCTCGTGGTCAATTAAATGGTTATGAATTAGCTGAGTTCTGCTGAATTTCCTTACTTTCCCCTATAATGGCAGAGGTTGTACTTAGTTTCTCACTACCATTTCTTCAAGGAAAAGACAGCTGTCCATAATTTGGTTTCACTTAATTAGCCTCTTATGAGAGCTTCCCTACCCATTCCCTGACTTTCTTGACATCTGCCTTCTTGAAATCTCGTGCTGTCAGTCACTCAGATCAAGTGGCAGAAGCTGACACTGGGTTCAGGGCAGTACTGATTCCTTGTAAAATGTCATATCGGGCAGCAGGCTTTGAGTCGTATGTTACACTGCCCTCTACCTACGTGTAGGTGCTGCTCAGCTGAGGAAGGCACTGACAATTACAGTGTGTCTTAGCCTGTAAGACTTAAGCTGCCGTTCAGAATTTAGCATAAAGAATAGGAAGAAAAGTGTAACTTCAGAGAACCCATCTGTAAGTTAATAACTACCATTATAACGGATCTCACGCGACGTGGATCTGTGCAGATGAAAAGTCCAGAACGCAAATACTTTCTGATAATAGATAATCCAGACTAGGGTATGAAATGATCCTTGCCCTATCATTTTTTACTAAAACCTTAGAACATTATGCAGCTGTTTCATGGCACAATAGGCAGTGAGACAGTAATGGGGGAGAGGAAGAAAAAAGCAATAAACTTCACCTTAAGCAAAAATGGCTGAGCAGACCACACTGGACCTATGCCTTGTAAGAACAGCAACAGGAGCTCTTACTGACATCTAATGCAAAACTTGTACGACTTCAGCTCCTCCTAGACTCCTCATATCACGGTTTGGGTTGGAAAGAACCTTAAGATCATCTAGTTCCAAACCCCCTGCCATGGGCAAGGATGCCTCAAACTAGACCATGCCACCCAAGGCTCTGTAATATTGTTTGAGACCGCTGCAGATACCTCGTGGACCCTCTCATAGGTCAACCACAGATGGTCAAGAAAGTCAGGCCAAGCCTGGTGCTTCTATTAGAAAGCCTTGTTGCACAGCTATTTTTACTCACAATATTACGATGCCAGTTTGTTTACGATCACTTCAAGTCCATTTGGATTCCCTAAGCATTGAAAATTGCCAGTAACGAGTCCGCGGGCATGGGCAATTTTTATGACAGGTGTAAATAAAAACGTGGGCATCCTACTGGCAATGTGGTGTCGGAAGACGAAGGAGCAAGCGTTGCCTGCAATCAGGCGGGTTAGATACCTACTTCAGGTTAGCTAGGTACCACAGGGAACGAATGTGCGGTGTCAGTACGCTATCTAGTGGCTGTACCGATTATGACATTTTTCTTGCATTCCTGTTCTGCTTGTGAATTGTAGTATTAAAAAGTACTTTAGAGAAAATGAGGATTTGTAAGTGTTTAACCGTTCCTAATGAACCTAAGACAGTTTGAGGCTATAGGTGATTCATGTAATAACAAAAGAAAAGTAGCTAAGTCTGCGTGGATATGCCATTAAAACTGGTGCTGGGCAGTCATTCTTGTCATTAACAGCATCCTGACAGGCACTGGGTAAGCAGTTGATTTTTCTCCTTCACATACAGACGATGATCTAGATTACCTAATAAAAACCTGCTCAGTTTCGGAGTGCATCAAGAGCCTGTTTCAGCATTTTCTTTAGCTGCTAGATTATGCAATATTTTGTGAGACAAAAGCAGGTAAGCTGTATACTTCAGCCCGGGCACATAGTACACAGTAACGGAGGGCCAGGTGTGTTCTTTTCTAGTGCAGAAAACTAATCCCTTCCTTGGGATCATAGTCTAGGAAGAGGTGAAGATCATGCACAGGAGCATTCTGCCCCTTTTCTGTTTCTGCCAGGGATGTAATTGACCTTCAGTAAATTATATAGCCTTCTGCTGTGTTATTTATCTGTGAAATTGAGATAGTACTGCTCTGTGGAAGCTAAAACAGCTTTATAGTTGATGAGTACTTCAGCTGTATTTCCTGTATTATATATATGAAATAGAAAATACTATATATATCTATATATGACCTGTACCAGTATATTTAGGGTGCAACTAGCACACAATTAGTTACATTAAAAAATAAAAAGTCTGACTCACCATTGCTCTCAGCAATTTTGCACTTTGCTCCTTAGTAATGGAGAAAGCTCCCTGGACAGCTGTTAAACCATTTATCTTTAAGTGCACTTAATTAAGTAGGTGTATTTGGTTTAGGAGGCTGAGTAAAGATGGGATGACGCAGGTTTCAGCTTGGGTGGTATTTCTTGGACTGTTCTTTCCAGGAAAGAAGAAATTTTGTTTTGGTGTTTCTTCATGCATCATGAAATCCAAGGTGACAATTCTGCTCTACATTCTTGGTAAATAATTCTTCTATTTATACATAAGGGTTTTTCTGAACCCTTTAAACCAAGTTTAAAATAGCTGGTAAACATTACCTACCTTTATCATAATTACTTCTGATATAAAGCTTCTATGGTGCATGTCTTGTCACACAGGATACCAGTTAATAAATACGCATATAAATACAGCGTATGTATGTGAAAGTGCCCCACAGGTGGATGCTGGACTAAGTTTACAGACTGCGTTTGATAAGACAAACACAACTTTTAGTAGTGCATAAAAGTCAGTTTCTTGGTCTTGCTCTCTCATCCCAAATAATCCAAACCTCAGAGGCTTACGCAATAAGCATGTAAGACTCAAGCAGATCTACAGGCAACCTGCTTTGAGTGCTGGAAGCCAAGGAGCTTAGCCTTTTCCCTCCTACTCCGAGCCATTTTCTATACTTTCTTTTGCTTCAACACTCACTCCAGATCAATTACCCTGAAAAGAGATATTTAAAACAAAATTTAACTGAAAGAACTTTTGTTTTTAAGATGACTGCTACTAACAGAGACCGACCTAAAAACAGATCAGAAAATTAAGTACATTCCTCACTAGTACTTCCAGCCTTCTGTGTCTAGGACCAGAGTGCATGAACCCTGCTTGTACATGCCCCCCAAAAGGCATCAAAATAAATAATTAGTTCAAGAAAAAAGTCTGACACTTAAGAGCCATTGCACAAACATTTAAACAGAGGAAATAATTTCTTTTACAAATGTGTTTCTCTTGTATAAGAATAATTTTGTACAGAAAATAGCTCTTTATACATATTACAGAAATACATTGACATTTAGATTTTCTATTAATGGATAATGATTGATTGAATGCAATTTAAGATTTTGGTTATGTTTTATAGTCACCAAATGCCAATAGCACAGCAATACATCACTTCCCAAATATCCTTACACTGCTTGATTTACTGAATATTGACTCAAGACAGCGAAAACTTTCCTAGAACCATGTAAATTTGCAAACACTCAAGTACCCTGAAACTCTCTAGTTATGAAACACCTCCTGAAATTAATACCATAATTTAAGTGTCAAGGAATATGGACTTAAACCTTAACAAGGCAGCATTACTTTCTCACCTAGATTATCCTGCTGGCTAATACTGTAAAAACCAAATGGAACAGAAACTCTTGTATTAAACTGATTTACTGTTACTGTGACCTTCAAAATGAGACAGCAGAAGCTACTCTAGTAAATGCTATGCAGCATTAATACAACATATAAACGTAATAAAAATACTTTCATTTTCTTAAGCAAATACCAGGGAAGGTAGAGGAAAAAAAAAAAAAGAAATCAGTAAATTAAGACATAAAAAATAAATCTGTGAAGGATGAGAAAAAAATGAAAAACGTGTATATATATTTATATGTGAAATACAAGGGTATGCTAGGAAGTACGGATATCTCAAAATACTGAATTTCTTCAAAGACTGTGTTAGAAGTCCATAGGTATCATGTGGACCTCAAATAGAAATGACATTCACTTTTCCTCTAAAATTGCTGTTTCAAGCACCTGTACTTATGGGCAAACTTCCTTTGAAACAGCGGGAACGTAAAAACATTTGTCCTTGAAATACAACTATACGCAATAATCCTCTCTTGCTTACTGGGCATTTAGTAAGTTTAAATGGAAGATGTAAGCAAGAAAGTACTATATAACCCAATGACACAAAAATATAAACTTAAGATTGTATGTGATCTCCTTAGTATTCATACACAGCTACTTAAGAGTTTGCCAGTGGCACCCTATGTGAGTACTGTTGATGCTTCAATTCAAAACATCAAAGATGAAGATTCAAAGTCAAACATGGCTCTTGCTCTGAGTCAGCCAATCTCTTAACACACACAACTTTCAAATAAATTCATCTGGAACTGGTCCACCTCTCCTTCTCACAGCGCAGAGGTTGATATGAGACAGTATGAATCACATTAGACTGGTTCACATTTCTATGTAGTCAGAAGGGGAAACAAGCCACCTGCAAAACCCTATTCCAGTGATTTTGCAAATTCTGCATAGTCAATGTATCCATCGTTGTTCTTGTCATCGTCTCTTAAGACATCATCTATTAGACTAATCAGCTCCTCTTCTTTCATTGCCTGGGTATGCTCACCACCTTCCTACAAAAACCAAAACCACATGGAACAGTTTAACAGTGTTTCCCATCTAGTGACACATGTGACAGGTTACTGACAACTAATTTTTTGTTAAGCTATTCATGTTTGGTGTCTAATTCAGCATCACATTTTATGTAATCATTTATACCAGGATAAGCAACTTTTACCAGGTGCAAGCCTATGAAGTCCAAGTTCTCTGTGCTTCAGAACAAGCACTCTGTACCTAGTTAGTATGCTTAGCCAAAGTTCTGAAAGCTGAATAGCAGAGAGTATAATGACAGATAATAATCTAAGAGATGTATTCTTTCTTTGGCTCTTGGTGTAGTACATACACTATAGATTCTATACAGCACAGAAACATCTTCCTGTGTGACAGAACTTGCAAAAATGCAGAGCTGGACAGTAACAGAGTAGTGAAAAAATCCAACACTAGCTCGAAGTCAGTAAAATTCTTAGTAACATTCCCTGCAAGCAAAGGGAAGACAAAGATGTGCCTTTACACATGGAACAGCAAGTCATTATTCTGTTCTTGGGTTTTGCCACAGGTGTAAACAGGAAGCTATGTTAGCCTGAATTGTAACTTCCAAAAAGTCAGTATGAGATGGTGGGTTAGTCATGTCTTCCTAACGATTGTATCTTCCTACCTTGTCCTTAGATGTTCCTAGCTGGAAAGAGAATTCATGTTTAAATGGTTTGTGGTTTGTGTAATCTCAGAAGTAACAGTTTGGAGTTGAGAACAGCAGCCTTAGAACCTCAAACAGCATTATATCACATGCTATTTCTATAAGCCATTGTGAGCATCACCCCATTTTGGATTATTTTTTCTTTCCTCCCATCCCTGCATACCAAAATATCCCCTCTGACAAACCATGTTCACTTTACAGTCCTTCCCCACTCCAAAGCTTAAACTACAATGGAGACTTCTGGAAAACTGCCATGTGCCATGAAAACTGTGATAAAGTTAGCACATTCATAAATCAAAACAATAGGGGAAATAACCTAACTTTCAGGCAAAACTGTAACTGCACTGAAGATGTGCTGTAACTGTTCTACCTTAAACCACTTACAGAGAGTCAGAACTGTTTCCAAATACACATGCCAATACAAAATTTCACCTACCTCTTTGTGGACGTGTGATATAGCAGTAGCAAGTTCTAACCCATCTAACAAATTATTGCCATCATAATCATGCATTTTGAAGTAATGAAGCTGCAGTTCCTGTGGAGACATCTCAGATTCTGGTTTCTCAATAACACCTTCCAAATGTTCCATGATGTGGCTAAGAAGAAAACCAAACAAACCTCATAACATAGCCATCAGTTAATATTTAATGCTCTGTTTACATCAAATTTAGTCTTTGATCAGACAGTCACTTACACAGGAAACATCGTATCTCTAAAAGCACCATGGACAACCAGGACAACCGAACACTGCTGTTTTATACTATGATGAAGGGGGTACAAAGGTTGGTTGTTACAGGTGCTGTAGTAGCCTCTAGTGCTTTAGATAGCTATTTCTATTTCTTCTGGCCTACTTAGCAGGTTATCAAAACAACTGAAGCAGTGCCCAGAATCTCCTCTGACTGCCTTCCAAAGATCAGGAACTGGAGGAAGATCTTTCCCAGTGAAACACACAGTATTCAGGGATTTTGACTTGCTGCTGCCGCCACTGTTTTGTCTGTATGAAGAAGTAAATGAAAAAAACCTCTCTCGCTCTACCTGTTCAGAATGTGATTTTTGTCCAAATTATGTTGATCAAGGTAAGCAGGATTCCTGTGAAAAAATCTTTATAGTATGATTAAGGCTAAAGGGTTCAGAGAGACCTTTCTAAGTCTGGTATCTCTACAAACTTACCAAACAAGCGTGTCTCACATTTGACTCTAGCCAGTCATACAAGATCCTGGGGAAAAGGGTGCCCTAGGCTTATGTCCAACTTGCATAACAAGACTTAAGAGATAAGCAAATCATTAAGAAGCAAAGTTTACATTTTTAGAACACAGAACACATACTCTTTATCTTGTACCAAGTTCTTATCCAGGCGAATATTTCCATGTTGACTCTCTGCTACGTGTTGCTCAGCTAGGGCAGAGATGACGAATGCAGCCAGAATGGAGAACAGCAAAGGTATTCTAAAAGTCCTTTGGGCCATCATGATCTCCTATAAATAGGAAAACATTAACCCCCCCCCCCCAAAGAAAACAGGTGAAAAATGCAATCTATTTTCAGCAGATTTACTGACTGCTTAGAAATAACCCTATTACTAGAGGACTTTCTCCATTTCAAGCACTTAATAGCAAGTAGAAAACCAAAGAGCTCCAATAAGAATCTCCATGTGTTCCTATTTCTAAGAAGTACGCCGTAATTTTCAGAGAAAGACTTTCTTTCCCATCTTTAACTATGCCTGCGTCTTCATACAGCTTCCAGCCAGCCAACCGTGCCAGCCCCGCAGCTGTGGCAGCAAAGGCCGCTTGCGGCATCAAAGGGGCTGCATCGTATTAGTGGACCTATTAAGCCTGCACTAAACAACACACAGCTTGAGAAAGGTCATTGCAGCCCCCGCTTCCCGGGCGAGAGACTCGTTAAAGCACGTCAGCGGGGCGAGCAAAGCAGCGATCGCAGGCCCGCCTTCTCTGTCCCGGGCACACCCGCTGAAGCGGTGCCGCAGGCCCCTGACAGCCGCCACTGCGGCGCTGACCTCCCGCCCCCCCCCCCTATGCCGCAGCGCACACGGCCCCGGCCGCCGTGGCTCCCCGTACCCCGCCGGCAGGGTACGCACCGTGGTTGGCGGGGCCGGGGCCGGTGCCCGCTGTGTCGGTGCGGCGGAGCGGAGCGCGGAGGAGCCAGGCCACCATGCCCGGCGTCACCTCTGACCCGGCGCACGCACGCACGCGCGCGCTCCCGCCCCGCCCGCCCATTGGTTGCGCCCCTCCCGCCGGGCGGGGTCGGCCCCACCGCTCCGGGAGCTCCACGTGGAGCCGTGGCGGAGCCATCGGGGGATCGCCCCGCCCTGCCCCGCCAGCACCGGGCACGGGGCACCGGTCACTGCCTTGCCAGGCCAGGCCCGGCCCGGCCCTTCCCGAAGGAGCGGCCGAGCCCCGTGCGCCGCTCCGCTGTTACCCTCCGTTCTTCGCATACTGTTCTGTTCGCTTTCCCCTCTCACCACACGGCAGGGGGCTCGAAGTCGGTACCGACGGGGATCTGGCGTTCAGTCGGCTCCCGAGAGCCTTAACCGGGGAGCAGCTCCCCAAGTCCTTCCCGCACCGAGCCCCAGTACCGAGCGCTTCTCAGACCCCGCAGGCCTGAGGGCAGCCGGCTGGGGGCCGCCCCCGTAACAGGTCGCCGTGCTGGGGCTGCCCGAATGTTTAGGAGCCACCGGGCACCCGGTAAGGCGGTCCCGGACCGCCGCACGCACCTCCTCGGTGCCGCCGCCGGGCGGGGCGGGGAGGGCGCGGCATTAAGATGGCGGCCAGGGGGTTGCACTCCCACGTGAAGCTGGAGGGGGAGATCGAGCGGTGCCGGGCGGAGGGGCAGTGGGCGCAGCTCCGGCACCTGGCCCAGCAGCAGCTGCTGCCGCCGGCTCGGCCTCCGCGCAAGGCGGCGGGGGGCGCGCAGGACGCCGGTAAGCGGGGGGCGGGCGGAGCGGGGCAGAGCGCTGCTGTTACCGCAACCCCCCGGGCGTGCGGTGGCTGGTGACTGTGTGCCTGATGCGGGCGGGAGCTGCGGCTGCCCCGCGTCCCAGGGTTGCGGGAGAGGGCAAGGAGGTGCTGGCGCGGGTTGCGGGGTGTTGCCCGGTGTCCCCCCATAGGCTCCCTGCCCGCGCTGCGGGAGCCCAGGAAGCCGCGTTCAGGAGGATAACGCTGTTTCCTCGTGTCTGTGCTTCCGAGCCCGCGGGGCTGCGAGGGGAAGCGCAGTGCTTGGGGGTGCCGGAGGGGAGAAAAGGGAGGCAGCGTTTTCTCGGTGCCGTGCTGCTGCGCTCGGTGGCTCTCTTGGGTTTAGCATCCTCGGGTCCCCACCGAAATCCTTTTTGTTTCTCTTTATCATCTCGATGTGCGTGATGCCGAGTCCCTCTTGCTCCCTTTCCCACCCTGCTCTGGGTGCCTTTGCTTTATATCCCTCCATTTCTGAAGGGAACTGATTTATGCAAAGGCTTAGGCTCATCCGAGCATCCTTTCACATGTAAGACATTTCATAAATAAATGTGTTATTATCTTTTTTGCCTGTGACAGCACATTACTTTGCTTCCTTTTAAATGAAACCAGTTGTACGAAGTAAGGCAGCCTAACTTTCTAACTGATAGAAATATAAAACTCTGTAGTCAACAGCAGTTAAGTTGTGAAAGGACCAGATCCTCACTATTGTATTGGTACAAGAGTCTCTGCCGCTGAAGTCAGAGGAGCTATTTCTATGAATAACCCACTTCTTCAGAGGAGTGTTTCTAGCATGTGGCCTTAGCATTAACTGAACCTTGGGAAGATGTTGTTAGCTTAGAACACGGTTATTTACGAGGCTTCCCAAGTGTCTACGTGCCACAGATCAAACCCTGTGCTGAGAACAACACAGCTAAACTGAACTTTAGTCAGGTTTCATCAGCGCTTCCCAGGTGCAGAGATCATCATGCGGTTTGGGGGCAGTAATAGTTGAAGAGTTCCTATTAGTTGGTCACTTGTAATTAGCGTGCACAACAACATTCTGATTGCTGTAAAAACATCGTCTGTTAAATTGCTGCTATGTCATCATAACATGCTAGTTATGAAAGAGTAATGCTTTGCTGTTCTTACAGAGCATCCCTTCCAGCAAGGGACTAGCAGCAGTTTTGTGTTTCTAGAAACACAGCGGTGTGTCTTGATGGGGTTTTTTTAGTAGTTGGATTTGCTTTGAGAGACTGTATTTTTATCTCTCAATTACACATGGTCTCGTGTAAGTCCTTAAGTTTTTGATTACCTGAAAGCTTTGAAAGCTCTTCAGTGTTGTATAGAAATGATTGCGTGTGAGGTTGGAGGAGAAATATGCTTGGATATTTACACTTCCTGTTTCAGGTACCTAGACTTCGTACAAGTTAGTCGTAGAGCTGCAATTGGGCAGGAAGAGCTGTGGTTCTTATTTGATACGCAGCTAAACATGCCTCAGCAAGGAAATCTAAAGCACCGCCAAGGTGATTCTTAATGCCAAATGTAACATGTAGGTAGTAAGTGGGGATATGTTGTCCCATGGACTGATAATATAGAAATAGATAGATCCACTGTCATGTTTCCTGCATTCTGCAGTTCTAGACTTTGAAATGTGAAGCATACATGAAATGTAGGGCTTGGCTCTTTGATTTACGAAGATTTGCTTGCCCTTGTTGACTCACTAGTCAGCTGATTGAGGTACTATTATGAATAAAAGAACTGCAGAACTGGACTCATCATACAGGAACTCCAAGTGCACTGGCAGATGAAACTTCTTTTTCCAGCATATGATTGCAACATCGCATGATGCTTCACCCAGTATCCTGCTACTACCTGAGTCTGAGTTTCTCTTCACACTGGAACAGTAAACAGGAAGGGATTTTAGCGTAGAAAGTATTTTACGTGGTGTGTTAGTTATGTCACTGGATCAAGCTTTGTGTGTCTTTAGTCATGGATATGTAAAATGTGTTGAAATTCTCTATTTTTATACTTTTTGTGAACTTTCAGGAAGATCTTTAAAGTTTCTGCTGTGGTTACTGTTCTGCAGTGAAATCCATGCCTTATCTGTAGTCCAAAGCATGTGTTTCATACCTGTATATTTATAAATCTAGAGCGTGCACTTAAATGTTTGCAAAGAGTGGCCTTACAGTTTTGAAAGTGAGTTTTGTGATGAAAATTCTTAATTGTTATAACCAAAATTAACTGTGCTGTCAGAGGATCAAAGGATTTGTTAGGGAAAATTTTCAAGTTAAAAGGAAATGCCATTTAATTTTTTCACAGAAACGTACTGTTTCCAATAGCAAGAAGCTAATGGAACTTTTTCTGCGAGTTCTTCTTTATCCTCTCATTTGAGTTACTATTTGTGTGTTGTTTTGTTTTCGTAAGGCTATTTATCAGCAGTATGACAGTAAGCAATGTTTCTTGTCTGTTGGTATGTGCTTTCAGAGGACTATGGGAATATGCTACTTGCAGAGGCTCTGCTGGAAGAATGTCTGAAGGAAAACTTTGCCAAACTGAAGGACTCCATTCCACTGACAGAGAAGAATGAGCCAAAACTGAGTGAAGCTAAACAGCATCTGACCAATATCTTAAGCAGAGGAAAACTAAGAGTAAGCAGGCTCTGTTGTAATTCCTGCCACCTGGATGCTTCTTTCATGTGATTATTAGTCTGATACAAAGTGTTGGTGTTGCCTGTTCATGTCTCTGTATGTACAGCGCTATATTGTAGGTATTACTAATGGATTGGTAATTCAGTACCTCTTGGCAGTGTCTTCTGCTGGGATGCTTGCTTTTTTCGTATGCAAACAAATTATCTGCTGCAAGTATGTATCCAGTTTATTTGTTTTGTTATGGATCCAATTTATTTATTTTTATGCATCCAATTTATTTGTTTTGTTACCTATTCAGTTTATTTGTTTTGTTAGAAAGAAGCAGGATAAATATTGAGGACTTCCCTGGGGTGGTAGGGCATGGCTGCGTAACGGTGCTGTCAGGCTAGCACAGCTCAATGGTCTACTGCTGCTCCCGGTCTGAGGGAATTGTGTCAGCTCCACATCAGAGGTAAAGCATACAGCAAGCTGCTGTCAGGCACTTCAGGTTGTGGTGTGAGTTCAGGACTGCAGCCTTGTGCTGCTTTCAGTCTGTGCCAGAGAAGTTACACAAAGTTATGCGTTTATTTTGTGGCCTGGGTGCAGCTCGGTCGTGGATCTCCAGGAGTGTTTTAAGAGTTTGCCTCCTGCTGTGTTGGTGTTCTTGGACACACAGTTGCATAACTGGTTTTAAAATGATCGTGAATTACAGCAGTCCGTTTTAGACTTGTGTTACTTTCGGTCCCGAAACCTACAGCCTAGTTAGCTTGGATGTGTATTTGTACTTTCACCATGTTAATTTCCAGGAAGCAAGTGTGCAGCAGCTTCTTCTGGGAGAGTTGCTTGTTCTTAACTTCTTGAAAGTCAACGTATTTCAGAAGTAAAAAGGAGAGGGGGGAGGAAGAGGAGTCCGTCCAACCCTCTTTCTTTATA